ATTATCAAAAAGACTTTCTGAAGTAAAAAACACAAAAGGATAATTATATGATTTTATTGTATAGCTGTATTATGTGAGCAGGTATTTATATATATAACTGTGAATAAAGAAAATTTATTACAAAAGTGAATTTAAAAAACAAACGTGGCCGTGATCATTTTAAACTATATCTTACTCAACCCGATGGAAGCGTGTGAAAAACATATTTTAAAAGAAAGATTAAGAGCAATGTGGATCTTATATCTTTTTAACACAATTCCAAGTAATTGTGCACTTGCTAATTTTTTAGAAGTATAAAATTGTGCCGAAAACTGGTTTATAAACTCACCAATTAACTTTGATGTATTTGTATTTTGTAATCATTTACTCTGATGTCATCCGGGACCCTTAGGCAGTAGCTCCACCTGTAGTCCACCATTACGATTTAGTATTGCTATTTTTGTATCAGTTGGAATTTTGTGTGCTTTTCATTATACATGTAGTTTGTATATATATGTTTGTAATGATAATATTCTATTACTGTATTAGATACGGTTTGAAACAGGTTGATAAGCAACAAAAGTGTTGAGGTGTACATAGGTAATGTAAATGTTTATTTTATGTTGGCTTCAAAATATCCAGATTAGGAATCGAAATTCGAAATCATAACTCAGTGACACGTTAGTCGTTAGGAACCTACCGTTTTTAACTAGGCCCATCTAAAATTAGTATTACTTTTACTAAGTAACTAACTATATACGGTGCCTTTCGTTGAATGACTAACTTAGTTAACGTTTAGCCCTTGATGTTTAAATATTTAACTTTAATGTAGAAAATTTCTAGTTAAATATAAGTTATAAATATAATGATATATGTATGAAGACTAGCTTAAGTTAAATTAAAGAAGTTTTTAACATTTTTATTATTTCAATTTCACAGCTATGACTTGCTTGGCAGTAAACTAAAGAGCAATTTTTTTAGGTTAACAGCCTGAGCCCTTTGTAACCCACCTCATTCCCTGTGTGTGGTCTCATCAGCCCATAAACTAGGTGTTAATATTATTATTAAATTGTTATGATTAACATCAGATATTGTTGATGAAAAATATTTCTCCCTCCACTTGAGTATTTTAGCAAAATTACTTAATCTTAGGTCTAATAAACTGTGTTGTTATAAGTAGTATACTATTAGAGTGCTGTTATAACTTATAGTAGTAATAGCACAGTGTTAACCTCAAAATGTTTTTTGTTTAAAAAAAACTGTTACTGTCAGTTCACAGTGCATTACAACATGGCCATGGTTGAACAAGCTACAAGCATGAGTTCGTCTGTATCATTTGAAATTGAAGTGAAAGGGATTCCAAAAGAAGGTATCACCAATAAAAATTATTTTCCTTCAAGCAGTGAAAATATGAAAATACTTTAGCATGTAGAAAGCAGATTAACACATTTATCTTACTTTTATTTTGTAAGCAATATAATAAATCCATTGAGGTTGCTTCAGTTATTCACGTATTGTTAAGTGCTGTTGAGAACTGTAACCTGAGGCAAAGTACTCTGTATGTTTGTCAAGTTTCTTTTCAAAATTGTATATTGTATCTGTGACAGTTATTATTAGATGTATTTGTAGCTATCTAAGGGTAAGAATTTAAATTAACAAGTGTATGTATATGATGGTTTATAAGGTAATATGATTAATGAGTTCCATTATCTTGTATAGAAATATATTTGGATGGAAGTAAGAGACTTCTTTTTTTTGTGTTATGTGGATTATATCTTAGGTTTTAGAAATGGAGTGACTATTAGCAACACACTTTTCTAATAATGATATCTTCATTATTTGCACTGTATATTATGAGGCTTCACTACTTTGTGGTTGTGGATGTGTCCCATCACATAGTTACAAGGGATTTTTTTGATGAAGAGTGTAGCATGGATTCCTTTGTATCAAACAGTTTGTGCACAAGCTGAAAATAGTAAAACTAAAAGGCAGAATCCTTTGCCCTCCAAGTTATAGCATTACTGTTGAAGCCTCCTAGATGATAATAATGAATAGCTAAAGGAATCCTGGGAAATATATGTGCACTGGCTTAACTTGTTAGTGAGATGTTGGAAACTACTGTTGTAGATCATTTGTATACACATTTAGGTAATTAGAGTTTGATAGCAGTACTTGCATTATTTTAGAGAAGAGATATTTTTCTATCTTGCTGACCTCGTGAAGTTTTCTAGTAGGGTATAAATGTTTTGAATTAATTTTAATATCGCTGTTGCTGTATTTGTATATCTTGAAAATAAACTTACTGGTAGTGGTAAATACCGTATAACTACAGGCCTTTTAAATACAAGTATATTATAGATTGTTGTACATAAAGGGGCCTTTTGGCCCAACAACATGTCCTGATTTCTAACCCTAATTCCCCAAATATTCATCAACCCCTTTTCTTAAGCTCTAGTAAAGTTGCAGTTTCTACTAATTATATGGTGGTTTAATCCACAGATTCAGCATTCTAATGGAACTGCATCATTTTAGACATTTACCTGACTTTTCCAAATCTTAAATTTATGACTTCTTGTTCTGCCGTCCAAAAAATTCAACATAAACTCTGTTGCCTTCATCTTATCATTTCTTTTAATAATTTTGAATGGTTAGATAACTTTTTTTTTTTAATTTTTAAAGAAAATAACTTAAGATGTTCCAACTTCATCCTCATTTAACAACCCATCTATCCTTGGAATCATTGTAGTAATCTTTCTCTGAATCAAATGTATTTCCTAAGCTAAAGGTCTAAAACATCACAAGATTACTTTGTATAAGATCTAACTAGTAACTTATACAGTGAAATCTTGGCTTCTTTATACTTCACCAGTATTCCCATAAATATACAACCAAAAATACTGTTAGATATACTACTTGCAATAAATTACTGTTTCAAACTCAAAGTCTTATTATTTCTGCCAACCAGTACCCTAGTCCCCAAGATCTTTTTCCTATTGTACAAAAAGTTACAATTTGGAAATATAACTAATCTACTTGAACATATTCATACCACTGTCACTATTAAGAATTAAGTAACATGTTAGACAATCACGCTGTCTTATCATCCACAGTATTTTCTATTATTTTTTAAGATAAAAGATGCTTTTAGCTTATACAAAAAATATTTTGTTTTAGAGTGTTTGGAGTCTGTATTTTTAAATATTTTCAAAAGTACAACTTTTCCCTGCTGCTCTAACTTTTGAAAGACTTCTTATTACTAGCCTAAAACTGCTTAAATGTAGCCCATCAAGTCTCAACACCTGTCTCCAACACTTAAACATCTTAGAAGTTTTTTTGTTGGTTCATTTATTTTCAGTAATATTTCATTCAGTTCTTTCACCTTAACATTTCTTGCTCATGTCCAACATGTGATTTGTATATTTAGTTAAAAATCATCTTTCTGTTTCTGGTTAATAACTCTTCAGATATTCCATTACGAACATCACTAGTCCCAGCGTGCATTACAAAAATAGCATCTTCTTGAGCAACTGAGCTACTTATGTGCCTGTATGTAATTTTGAACTATGGCATGTGATAAATATATATATATGTTTTTCTTCAGCATCAGCCACAGGCTCAAACGAATTTGACTTAGTTACCTGTGTCTGAAATATACTTCCTTTCTTAGCCTTAGACTGCCTTTCATTGTATACCTTAGAAAACAGAGTTTTTCCTTCACCAAAGCAGCATTTTAAATTTTCTATATCCTTTAGTTTGCAATTTGATAGCTAAATGTATTTCTTTTTCTCTCTCTAATACTACATGCCTGAGACCTTTGAAATCATCTTAACCCATTCTTTGCATTTGTCACATCCAAAAGTTTTACCATTACATTACTCTTTACCATAATAACAGCGAAAGAAAATCTCTAAAAGGAATAGAAAACAAACAGAATAATAATTTACCTTAACATACACTCATTACAATAAAAAAAAAAATATTAATAACTGTAGCAGTAAAAATAACCTAAAGTACTTTAGGAAGATAACATCTATGCTGCAGAACTTTTAGCACAACAACTACAGTAGAATCTTGATTATCAGGCACCTCGGTATTAAGGGCAAACTTTTTCAGTCTCTTTCTTTGTTCTACTGTTTGTAACCAAAATAAATCTTGCAATAACAGACACCTCGATATTATGGATTAAGGGCAATGTCTTTAGTCTCATTCTCTATACAGGCACTAGATAAAGCAGGAAGTTATCTTTGTATGCCTGTACGATATACTGACAAATATCCCAGAAGGATGACCAATATTCAAACACTTGTGGTGTTTATTGGATCGGCTCCGAACCATGTACTGTAATAAATGTTTTCATAGTTCAAAATGCAATCTTACTGTAAACACTGGTAAGATGCATAAGTTGATAAACTCCACATTGTGTTCTGGGAGCAGGGGTCAAGTCAACTTATTTCTGTGCACATGCTTTGTTGCTCTCAAGAGTATTGTATTACAGTGTCATTTAAACAGTCTAATAACACATGTGGTGACTTGTTGCTTTATTTTCAGTGGAATACTACTTCAGTTGTTGATAGTAAAATAAACACAGAAAATAAATGTAGAGAAGTACTTTGAAATTTTTTGACTAATAATAAAAAAAAAGCACAGCTAATCTACCCTGTGAGACCTCCTTTTGACAATGCTCCATGTCATAGCAACGTACAACTCATGAACACCCGTGTCTTGTATATACCAAACAAAATGGGAGCCTTCAAATTCAGAAATTTAGTACGGTCAATTTGGAATCCAGCTTTGTGTGGCTGATTTTTGATATTAAGGGCACCTTAGTATAGAGGGTATTTGGACACAGTCGGAAGGGTGCCTTTAATGTTGAGACTCTACTATGGGTATAATTACAAAGTTCACTAAGAAATTGCTAATGATTGTGAAATTATTTTCAGCAAGTTGTTTCTCAAAATGACGTTTTTGTATAGTTCAATTACTTCAGCTACTGAATTCAAACAATTACCACAAGTAGTCTGAGAATTACAGTAAAAAATCTGTTTACTGTTTCCATTAATAAATATAATAATGTAATAGATTTTGTACAAAGATACATTTGTTATGAACTATGATTTCCATTGGCCAAATTGTTAATTACATTGTTTAGATGATGAAAATGTTCGAGTTTTAAAAAGTTTTTCTTAGAACTATATAATAAAATCAGTAGTTAATATAGTGTTTTACGGTGGTACAAATGTTCACTGTAACTATTCATTCAAATTATTGTTTCAACTCAAACTTTTGTAAATATGAGGTGGAAAGTAAGTTAAATAGTATACAATTATCCAATAATTGTTATTTTTATTTAAAATATTTATTACTTTGAAAATTTTTTGTTATAAATATATTTATAGGACCATGACAATTTATTTCTAAACAGTATGTAGACATATGATAAGAAATTCACTATTTATTTCATAAGATTATGTTATGGCAGTTGTATTTAGTTTGTTTGAGTATGGGCCAATATTAATCGGAACAGTTTCTTACAAAATAGGTATTAAGTTAACATGCCCAAGTTTGTGTGATGGTAGAAGCTTCTTGCCCTCCAGTATGTTTAATTTAACTTTGAATGAAGATTACATTTATCAATTCAGCCGAAAGTAAACATGGTCAACAAAGTAACGGTTCAAGTCGTTCCTCATCAAGAGCATCATCCAAAAGTCGAAATTCACCAAAGCCACTTCCACAATATCAGTATACCAAGGTAAGCAAGGCTTTAAATTTAAACTTTACTTAAGTCAAGCTGTTATTTTGCTATAAAATCTGTATTTTTGTCTTGCCAAGTTTACTAGTCCATTCTTGTTTAATATATGTCCTATAAAATTGATTTTGTGGCCATTAAAAGCTTCTGGAGTCAAAGCCCTCGGTCTTTTCCTACCATATATTTCTGTACAGCAGATTTATGACTTCAGAAAACTTCTTAGTGTTTCATTAACCCTTTCATTACAGGTTGGGTGGATTCCACCCAGCTCATAACCATGAAAGTATCCATAAGAGTAATTATACTCTGATTTGTGATAATGTATGCACATTTTTACAAAATTTTGCAGGTTATTAGTAAACATTACAATGTTTTGTACAAAAAATATCAGGTTTTTAAATTAAGTATTAAGATTTGTTAATTAAAGATTTTTTCGTAAGCCCTTTTTTTTCAGAATGTTGACTATCCAACATGTAAAGCAATTTTGATTTTAAGATTAAAAATACTTTAATGCATTAGAACATTTTCAAATATCACATATGAAATCCTTATAATCTCCAGATTATTTTAAAATTTTTCTAG